TCTTGTTTTTGCTCAGGGTTCCTTTAAATTGCTCATCTACTAGGAACTGCCATTTCCTTTTGTTCAACTTGATCCTCAGGTTTTGCTTAGGTTGAAGCGACTTTCAGCTTGCTCCCTTGAAACTTATCTTTGTAATGGTAGTTGTGAGAGGATATACTTTGTTGGGTGAGCTGAGGGTGTGTACTGCTTTATCCTTCTTGTCGGTCAGGCTTGGGCCCGCGTGTTTGAGAGTTGTGTATTTCTCGGTCAGTATGGTGTAGTAGGACTTCTTTCCTGCTATGCATTTGAAGTATAAATGATTGGCTGGTTGGCTTAATGAGATCTGAATGTTCTCAGACTCCCCGACATTTTTCCATCAACTCATGAGTAAAAATTTGATTAATCCGATTCTTGGGTACTCAGACTTCCCCTTCTTCCATGGTGGACCATTTTTGCCCCCAAAGATCTGTTACTCACTTTCTATTCTCCGAAACAAAGAGTGATTTTATCAATCTTGACTTAAGACGAAAGCAAAAATGTTTGAAAATGTTTATTAGAGAATTAAAATTGAAATCCATATCAAAACTTTACTTTCGAGAAGTGTGTGCAAACTAGAGAAAATTGATTTTGTGGGGTAGTTGTCATGTTGCCAAATTTGGTTTTCTTTTTAATAAGAGAAATGTAAGCCAAGCCATGAGAATGTGAGTAAGCCCTCGCTCTCACTCTTGCTTTTGATTTTGCTCGCTTTCACTCCCGCTTTGGATTTCGCTCATCACTCACTCTTATAGGTGATTTGAGTGTACGACACTTCAGCTACCATTAAGATTCTGTTCACCTTGAGACGTCGCCTTTATGTTGTGGCCAACTGTGTTCCTTGTGAAGATTTACTCAGATGGCTTCGTCGCAGATGTTTTTAGTCTCCCTTGAAAGAGGCTTTTGTCCGATATGACTTTGAGGATACGAGTCTCCTTGTTCTTGAGGTGTATTTTATCGACAATATCTGTATAAAGCTTCTTGTAGAGGGATTTTGGCTTTGCCCCCAAAGTATGAGATTGACTTGATGGATTAAGAACCACTATTATCTAGATATTTATTGCTGACAAAGTCTTGTTCGAAAATACTGGTGGATTTTCTGGGAATGTATCTTCAGCTGGGTTTGTCCCCCAGTATTTTTCACTAGACGAGGCTGTGATTTTCGTGAGTGCAATCTGGCTTGGGACTTATTGAGATCCTTGTTTGGCCTCTAAATGTTGAATGCTGTGGATTTTCAGATTCTGGCTTTCTCTCAAAATGATGAGTACCTTGGATGATGCGATTTTGGTTATGACGGCTTTCTTATCATTGGAGTTTTCTTACTCGAATGTCCTCATTGTTGTATCTTGAGGTTGATCGACCAAGATCTTGGCTTGGTACAGATAGTTGGTACTTCAAATGCTAAACTGGGGCATCCAGATTGTAAGTCCCACGACATTTTGTTTGTTCGAAAAATAGTTGGTACTTACAACATATCACTCAGATGAAGAGTTCGAGAGAAGACAACAACAAATTGCAGAAGAAGAGGATGCTTTTTATTCTGATGACATTGGGAGCGAAGATGGAGCAAGCAATGAAGATGGAATGGCGGATCATGGGTTGCATATGAAAAGTCGTTTCCCTAAGTACAATCCGAATCTACCCACCCCTTACTTCGAGGTAGGCATGATCTTTAATGGGATGAATGAGGCTAGGGAAGCAATCGACAAATATTGTTTGTCATTCAAGAAAGATTTAAGGGTTAAGAAGAGTGATCCTGGAAGGGTTAGAATGGTTTACGGCTACCCTAACTGCCCGTTTGCCCTTCTTGTTTCATGGAGTAAACAACCCAATGCCTTCCAAATCAAAACACTAAAGATGCATAGATGTGGGGTGCATTTTAAGTGTAGGAAGGTGACTCCAGCTGTGATAGCACAGAAATACCATAGGAGGATAAGAGCAGACCCAAGATGGAAGCTAAAGGACATGATGGAGACTGTTAGAGAAGAACTTGGGTTTAGTGTGGATAGAAACAAGTGCTCACGAGCAAAGAGAATGGTTTTGCACTTGACTGAAGGATGCTTCAGAGATGAGTATGCAATATTGTGGACTTATGCTGAGGAGATGAGGAAAGCGAATGATGGCTCAACTGTGCGTATCATGGTGAATAGGAACAACCCAGAAAATAAACCAAAATTCCAAAGAATGTACATTTGCTTTGGTTCCATGAAAAAGGGTTTCTTAGATGGATGTAGAAAGATGATTGCGTTAGATGGTTGCTTTTTAAAGGGCTTGTGCAAGGGGGAATTGCTTGCTGCAATCGGAAGGGATGCAAATGATCAAATGTATCCTGTTAAATGGGCAGTTGTTGAGGTTGAGTCGCGGAATTCGTGGGATTGGTTCCTGAAGGAGCTTAGAGATGATTTGTGTATTAATAATGGAGCTGGTTGGTGCTTCAGTTCCGATCAAATGAAGGTATGTTTATTTATTTTTACTTTACCCTTTAAAAATGAACAATCAAGTGAAGGTATATTATTGACATATGATGGATTTGTTTTTTTGGTAATTAAACGTGCAGGGGCTTGTGCCAGCAATAGCAGATCTTTTCCCCAACACAGAACATCGGCTATGTGCTAGGCATATTTGGAGTAATTTGAGGAAGAAGTATAGAAACCGAGAGTGGCAATCAACCTTTTGGGAATGTACTAAGGCATCAACGTCTTCATTTTTTAGCCGAGCATATGAGAAGTTGTCAGCACAGAATGAGGAAGCAGCCAAAGCATTGGTTTCAATTGATCCAAAACATTGGTCACGTGCATACTTCTCAACTAAGGTAAAATGTGATTCAGTTGACAACAACATGTCAGAATAATTCAATGCATCAATTCTTGAAGCTAGATTCAAGGCAATTTATAGTATGTTGGATGATATTCGGATTATGATGTTGTCATTGATTGCAAGCAAGAAGGCACAAGCAGATAAGTGGGACAAAGAGTTTTGTCCCAAAATACTGCAGAAGTTTAAGAAAAATGCAGGTAAAAGTGATGCTTGTCATATCACTCATAATGGGAAGAACGGTTATGAAGTTCGACATCACAATGAGAGGTTCACAGTCTCAATCCCAAATTTGAGTTGTTCCTGCAGAGAGTGGGCACTTACTGGGATCCCATGTGCCCATGCCATCACATGTCTGGCATTTGAAGGGAAGATTCCTGAAATGTATATTTCTGAATGCTTCAAAACACAAAAGTGGAGAAGCACATATACAAATGTTTTGCAGCCTATGGATGGACCAAAGACATGGATATGAAGTGATTATGAGTCCATCCTCCCTCCTGATTTTAGAATTATGTCTGGGAGACCAAAGAAGAAGAGAGTGAGAAGCGTTGAGGAAATGGAGGACAAGAGAAGGACAAGAAAGAAGCATGTGTACACTTCTAAAGAATTGTTGGCTCGTGTTAAAAAGGATACAGGTAAGCTTGGTAGAAATGGGAGGATAATTGTGTGCAAAAATTGTAAAGAACCTGATCACAATTCTCGCACATGTAAGAAACCGAAGCAAACGCAGGAGAATGGAGCTCTACGGGGACACGATGGTGAGAGAATGGGTGCTTCAGATGTCAGTGCTTATAAGAACCAAGTAAGCTTGGACTATTTTCTTTGATTTTCTATTGGTCAATGGAATGGTACTTTGCTCAGTGGTACTTTGTGGGGTTTGTTCAATAGATTTCATGTGTTTGATTAGGACAATGGTGGTGCCGTGGTGCTAGTAGCAGTAGGATGAAGTCATCAAAGAAGAACAAAACACCATTTGCAGGATGTCGCTCACATTGGAATACTGAAAAAGGCTTAGGTGTTCTAAACGTAAGGATGTGTGAAAGTTTGTTAATTATTAATGTTTGCGAAGCAACTACTAATGTTTCTTATTTTGTTGGTTTTGAAATGTAGCCGGACTTGATCGGAAAGACGATGTTTCAACATCCAAATCAAGAGCATCGACAAAAAAGGAAAAACAACTTTGGTGACACACAAGAAAGCACCAACAACACTTTGAATTAGAACGAGACTTTGCATTATTAGATCGTAGGAGTTCACTCCATGTTTTGTCATAATTTTGTTTGATGTACCGTGGGGTCACTGGTATACTATTTGTTGGTGCTTTTCTGCAAGACCTTATATGTTAAAAAAGGATGATTGTACTTTGCAGACAAGTACCATGAATGGTTTGCTATATTGAGTTTTAAGTGAAGTTAAGTTTCATGAAGTTTCAGGGAGTAAACAGGTTTGGAAAATTAACATGTTCTTACTCTGTATAATAAATGGGGACGGATGGATATATAATAGTGGGGAAGGATTTTAAACAGGATTATACAGGGTGGAAGTAAAATAGAATGGGGACGCAAATCACTGGGAGGGAAGTAACCAAACGGAGGGGCAAATTGGACTTTTCATGTCCTATTTTCAAGAATTCAAACCGGTCGAATCGAGATTAACGGCACCCGGATGGAAATATTAACGGAAGAGTAGATTTGATATTGTGGCGATAGTAGGAGGGCAAGTTTGATGTAAAACATAGTAGAAGAGCAGGTTTGAGAAAAAACCATAGTAGAGGGGCAATTTATGCTATTAACCCTAATATATATGCAAATGCAATGAGTTTGCGCGTATTTGCTGGAACCTGCTGCTCCCCCACTTTCCTCCCATGTCCTCAGACACCTGTGTTGTTATCCACCTCTTTGCTCTTTTCTGAAAGTTGTTTCATTTCTTCCTTCAATTCGTCAAATTTATCCACTAGCAGGCAGCAGCTGCTTCCTTTCCTTGCCGGCTGTTCCCCGGCTTTTTGGTAGCTTCTCCCAGTAGTACATCTCCAATTCCAATGCGTTGATCTTCTCGCTGAGATTTGCTAGCTCTGGAACTCCATTTCTGATCCAGAAGCTAAAAACCACAAGTAAACACAAAGAAATAGAAACAAAGGAAGATCAAAGGGGAGATCTTTCGTCCATTCAAAGATGATGGGGTGGAATATGCATTCTTGGTCTTGTTGCATCTTCTTCGTTTGCCTTTTCAGCTTGATGGGTTTCTTTGTTACTTCTTCCTCTGCTTCCACTTTCCTTTCAGGTAACTTTTGTTATGAAAAAAAGGAATTGCTTTTGCTCACACTCTTCACTCTAAGTTTTGATTGAATGAGTAATTTTCTTTCCATTCATCTGTTGGCTATTTTTTTGGTCCAGATTCTGTCTTTGAATCGCGTTCTGCTGTTGGAAGGAATCTACTCCAAGCTAGAAAAGGTGTGTGTAGTTTATTTTCCTATCAGTTGGATTGGAACTAACCCAGCTTGCTTGCGATCATTTGACTTGGTGAATTAGTTGCCTGGTTTTGAAAGTTTGCTTTGAAGTTCTTCTAGCGTGCTTGTTAAGCTTGAATGGGGTTAATTGCAGGAGGTTGCAATTGTTGTGCCCCAGAATTAAATTTTAAAATCTGGTATCAGTTTTAATGACACTTGAAAGCTCCAACCTTCATATAATTCATAGGTGGATGAACTAAGCTTCATTCCTGAATTGTAATTATTATCCACGGTGATAGGATAATTGAAATGTAGCTTCTGAAATGTGATTCTCCTTCTGTTTAAAAAATTGTGCTTGAGACTAACTTTTCTTGGTCAGACAAAATGATGGATCTATGGAGTGAATATGGGTTGCATACAAGCATCTAATTTAAGCTTTCCTTCTTTAAGTTGAAGCATCTAATTCAGTCCGTTGATATATAAGTGAATTAGACATCTCATTCATGTTCCTAAATTCTATTTTTAAAACTTCTAATGCAGTTGGTTGGACATATTCACACATTATTTAATTTTGAGATATAATGAGAATGCAACTCTTTCTGGTTTCCCTTTGGAATATCTTACCAAGTTTTCCTTTTCATTTACTCTCACTTTTGATTGGTCCGACTTCAGATGAACTGGGGTTTGAATTCGTTCAAGTGATCATGGAATGAAGCATATGCAATGCACACAATATAAACTAACAAACACTTTCCATCTTTGAATTTTATCTGCAGCATGCCCTGTGAACTTTGAGTTCATGAACTACACTGTTATCACGAGCCAATGCAAAGGACCGAGCTACCCTCCCAAGGAATGTTGCTCGGCATTCAAGGACTTCGCCTGCCCTTACAACGATGTGTTGAATGATGTGACCAACGACTGTGCATCGACCATGTTCAGCTACATCAACCTCTACGGCAAGTATCCCCCTGGTCTTTTCGCCAGCGAGTGCAGGGAAGGTAAAGAAGGCCTCTCTTGCCCTGCACTTTCACCTTCACAATCCGCCAATGACAGTGGAAGTCATGATTTACGCGGCAACCGATCAACACTGCTGATACTCTCAACTGGGTTGCTAGTCATTTTGCTTCCGTTACTTTGATGGTTTGAGCTGATCAACTTTCCTCAATCTTTCCTCTCTCTCGGCTTAGACTGGTTTTCATGAAGCGTAATGAGAAAGAAAGGTTAAAAAATTTTCTTCTGAATAGGGTTCTGTTCACATTCTTGATTCCTTGTTACTGAAGATTATTTTGATTCAATTTATTTGTATATGTATGATTATGTATTTAAAACTAATGTAACACACTAACACTTAAGGTTCTTGAAAATTTGTTTTCTTTTTTCGCATCTTTTGAGCTGACTGCTAACTCAACTGAAACAAACATGAGAAACCAATGAGTTCAAGGACAACTAAGTCTGAACAAAGTAAAAACTGACCTCACTTTCCCAACGCAATACTCAATCTTGTACTTATATTCTCAAGCGGTCCCTAATAGCAGTTTCTTCCTTCCCTACCAAAGACAAAAAAGATCTCTGCAACTGATAAATTTCCTCTGTCTGGCTGTAAATACTTCACCACTTCACAACCCATCAATCTAAAAGGGAAACCCTCTCATAAAAGTTCCCAACTTTAGACTAAAACCAGCTAATGGCTATTCCTTCAGTCCCTTCAGTCTCACTACATCATCCTCCAGACCTTCTCTTGCTCCAATTATGCAACAATATCCATGAAGTGAGACAGGTGCATGCCAAGTTCCTTGTTTCTGTTGGCAGACATGTGCACTGCTGGGTGATCAAGGCTGGAGGGGAACTTGGCAGTTATGTCATAGCTCACTCACTCATTTGTATGCTACTTTGGGTCTCATGGACGATGCAGAGCACGTTCTCAGTGAGGTTTTGGAGGAGAATGTGGATGCTGTCAACGTGACTATATCAGGGTATTGTAGGTGTGGACGAGTGGATGAGGCTAGAACTAAGTTCGAGGGGATGACAGACAGGAACGTCGCGTCCTGAAGTGCTATGATCACAATTCACAGGGTACACACGGAACGAGATGAATTTAGAGGCATTATCTCTTCTCTAGGATATGTCTATGAGTGGTCCGGGACTTATCCCGAATGAGTCGATGGTGATGAGCTTACTAACAGCCTATGGACGTCTAGGAGCTTTACCTCAGGGGAAATGGATTCACACCTACATCGAAAGGGTGCATGGTGGATCTGTTGGGTCGAGCAGAGAGGCTAGCAGAGGCACATGAGCTCATTGCATCAATGCCCAAGGAGGCGAATTCAGTGATTTGGGGAGCATTTCTCAGCAGTTGCAGGGTGCACAACGATGTAAAAAGAGGGAGCTGGGCCTTTCAACGGCTTATGGAGGTCGAGCCAATGTCAGGGGATAGGTGGAAACTAGGAGAGTTGATGTCTGGGAATGCAGGAAGGGAAAAGGAAGCAATTAAGATTAGGAAGTTGAAGCATGAAACTGAAATGGAGACAATAGTAGGGTGCAACTGCATTGAAGTGGGTGGTGTTGTCCATGAATTTGTAGTGGGGGACATTATGTATAATAAAGCTGAAGCGATTTATAGAATGTGCAGAAGCATTAATAGAACTATGAGAAATCATTCATGAACATGACAAGTTAAGATTACAACATAGATAGGAATATTACTGAGGTGCAAATTCAGGATTCGGAGAACAGTTCTATAGCTTACTCAACCAACAATCATCTAGCCACTCAACGAGATCTGTGATGGAAGAAAATGGAGCATGTTTGTGGTTTTACTCTTTCTCACTAACATCAAAGTACAAGACAAGTAGCAGGATTGGATTCATTCAACATGAATATGTTTCAAAGTTCCTACAAAATCACACTTCATAATTAATAGTCATCGCCTCTTGATATCACCTCTTTGCAGGTTGGGCGAAGCAAGATTGTATGCTCAAACTGGGACACATAGCTGCCCTTAACATCGCAAAGAGGAGGATACGGCTGCCATAAAACCACAAATCGTTAACTTCCACGACTTCAACAGTTCAGACATTACCAACTTCAACAGTTCAGATCACAGTTCTTTGTCGCTATCTAGAACTAACGGAAAGGTCCAAAACCAATAGTATGGTCTGTTTTTAGAGAAACTCATGTCATTATGTAAAAAGTAAACTTCAATTTCTGCACCAGAAGATATTAGATACCATTGACGAAAAGGTGAAGCAAAATATCTGATTAAGAATGATAAAAAAAAAAAATTTAACTGATCATGGCTATTGTAGAGACTCTTCTTCGCATGCTAAAAAAGTACCTGAACAATGCCAGAATCACATAAATTCTTCAGAGCCATCAAGTACTTGGTTTCTCCAAGGCGGTCCAAGTACCGCCTGCAGAAAGCTAGTGTTGAGAAGTTTTTATCTATTGTTGCTAGCAGCTGCTTTGCTCTTGCCATCCTCAATGGCACATGGCCAATATCAAAGTTTTTCATGTAATGACTGCACTCTAGATCTTCTCTGACATATCCTTTCCCTACACAATCGAAAAGTGTTTTTTATGTATTGACTGCACTCTAGACCTTATCAGTGACTAATGCTTCCAATACCAATGCAGAAGAGATGGCTAATACCTGTTGAGCCAAATGTTTCAATTGCGTAAAATTCACCCTCTTCCATTTTAGTCTGCTCCCCTCCTTTTACAATAGGAACAGACTTTCCAGCATGAATTTGATATCGCCCGATGCTGTGTCCATTCAAGTTTCTGATGCTTTTAACTGCAAATGACATTATAAATCGATGTAAAAATATATCAGCACGTAATGGGTTTCTGAAATACGCAGGAGTTTTGATAAACCACTTCAGAGCTCCTAAACTTTTAACTAGGAAAAAATAAACAGGACGAGCATGCGTGGAACCGAATAGCTACATTTGGGGAGCATAGTAAAAGACAAAGCTTTGTGATTCAAGGGACAGTCCCAACAATTTCGAAGTGTTACATCCTTACTAAAATAATTGAAATTAAGATAACCATGATTTCATCTTGATGCTAAATGTAGGTACTATCCATATCAGTTAGAAGTCAGCTGGATTGGCACCTTCCAAAACAAAAAAGGAAGCGAAGCAAGGAAAAAGTAAGTGGATATCTCTAACCACAAGTACAAACTGTAGAACAAAAACTATAAACATATGGCAATTAAGTTAGCAAAACAGGACAGGGCACAACAACAATGACTCCTAATACATCATACCTTGAAACACCTTTCCATTTATCTCAACCTCATAAGACTCCATGACCTCTTGGATTGCAGCACCAACATCACAAAGACGCACATCAATCCCAGCTTCCTGAACGAATCAGTGGAAAATTTAGTATGTTGCTTCCATTTCAATGATATTGTATCACTGACCGAGAGAATACTCGTTTAAGAGAAGCCCATCACCTTAATACCCATGTTTGTGGCCTCACGTGAAGCTTCAAGCAGTGGGTTAAACATGGGATTGAATGCCACTGTAAATGCACAGTCCACAATATTTCCTGATATTCAACCAACCACCACTTCAGATATACTTCCATCCAAACAGAGTGATGCTAATTCCAGAATCCCCTTAGAACAAGGAATGTAATGGGAAAAGCTTCCCAGCATGAAAACATCCAGCTCTAGAATCAATTCTTGAAGCCACCATGGCTTACCAAAAGGGAAGAGGAAAAATTCAAGAGATTTACCGCCAATATGGGTCCCAAAGTCCAACTTCATTACATCATCATACTGAAGGACTGTCTTGTCACCAGAGTTGGGAGTCCAATGAGCAGCAACCCTTTCGGTACATAGAAGAAAGAGAGTCAGCTTCCAATGAATATATGACCAAATTCAAAAAAAGGCAAAAGAATCATAACACAAGTACACACCAGTTCAGAGAGCATCCCGTAGGAAAGGCAATTCCAGCTTGGAGACCATTTTCGGATATTAGTTTACGAACCGTGTTCTCCAATGTCTCACAGAGGTCAGTCATTAACATGCCAGGCTTCAAAATGCTTCTGATGTGTTTGCGCACCTAGTGACAAGTAAAAAGAATTTAAACAGACATGAATGACAAAGAATGGGGTTGTTGCATATAGAAAACAAAGGAAAACCTGTCGGTGAACTTCTGCAGCTTGTCGAACTGAATTATATAAAGGCTTTTCAAGCCGCTCCAATTCTCTCTTCTCCTCTGACGTTGTACGCCATAAGTTACTGACATATAACATTTGAGAGTCAGAAGATGACAAGAAAGCATAGGCCCAATTGCTTCATGCAACATTTGAATAGCCATTTGCAGAGGCACATGAAAGAAAGAACAGACGAAACAATACTAGAGGCCATCTTATTTGCATTATCAAGGCCAAGAAGCAGCATATACTCACTCATCTTTGTATTGTTGAATTTCACCCTCCGGAAATTCTCCAGATGGGAAGAGCTCAGCAACAGGAACAGAGGGTGGATCAGTCTGCTGAGCAGGTTCCTTCTTCTTCCTGTCAATAACAAAATGGAAATTATTGTCATTCATGGGGACATCCAAATGCACTGGAAGGCTAATGTAGTTCTACAATTTCCAATGTGATATACTATAAGCAAAGAGCATACTGCGCTGAAAGACTATCCATATCACCAAGTTATTAAAGAATGAAATACTCACTTGCTTTTATTTTTCTTCTTTTTCTTTTTAACAGCATCTGAAAGAAAGATTTGCAGAATGAAAATGAGATAAAAAATAAATTTAAGGGAACATCAGCATCCTACAAAGATATGCCAAAGCATATGAATTTGGGAGTGGTATGCAAAGCAATGACATGAGTCAGTTTCAAGAAAGAGCCCAGATTGAGCAAACGTAATTAGCGCGGGAAACTCCAGAGCAAGCATCGAGATTGATGAAGAAAAGACATGCTCTCGATGAATAAAATAATAAGGGAGAATAACCTTTCTTCTCGTCCTCGTCCTTGTGTCCTGCAGATGACTCATCATCTCCATTGCTAACTGAAGGCTCTAAACTCCCATTCTCTTCCTTGGTACCATTCTCTTCCATAGAGAGTTCTTTAATCATCTCTTCATCCGCCATTCTTACTTGCCTATTGCACACAAAAAGGAAATTAGAAAACCGGGACGTGCTCCATCACCTCGTCAACAAGCAACAGAATTACGACGGGACATTCATGCCTAAAAACCTAGAAAATTTACGACTAATACTGGACTGAAAAGGGATGATCCATTTTGGAATAAAAATTCAAGCTTCTTTCACCCGGAAACAAAGCTAGCAGATTTTTCCCAAACGCAATCCCGGATTGATCTTCGGAACGCAAAGCACAAACCTTTTCGCGGGAAACCCCGCGCGCCAAAGTCAAACAGAACCAATCAAATCCCCCACAGTTTCAGAAACAGAACCTGGCATGTTAATTCGACGGAGAGGCAGAATCTGCTTTACCTGCTATTCCTTCCTTCTCCTGATACTCTGTAATAAACTAGCAACTTTGCTCGGGAACTCTCAGACTCTGTACCCAAAAGCTCAGGCGGTCTTTCCGTTGCACCCTAGCTGATTGATGATGCCAGACAGACGCCATTGAAATACTGAGGGGTCATACACAGGCCCGGGAAAGCCTGAAACTTTCATGGGCTGCAGCTGGCCCATAAACTGGGCTTGGGAGCTGGTCGGCAAACGGGCATCGAGGACCCCAATCGTTTCAACTTTCAACTTCCTATCACAGATAAATTCATTGCCCAGCCAGCCCGCCACCGCCCGCCCGCCCCCGACTTTTTCTTGTGTTCATTTTCCAATTTCAATTTCAATTTCAATTTCAATGGTTTTATTTGTCTCCTATGGTTTTATTATTCTTATCCATTAACTAATAACTAATAATTTATATCCTTTGTGTCCCGTTGCTTTGTTGTGACCACTGACCAGGTCACGTTCCTGACCCAACCAAAGCCAATGACAAAGACCACATCGATGTGGGATCAAAATTGACTCTACTAATTTGTTTATTATCATTTTCATGAACATGTTTTCCTTTGATTTGAGGGTAAATTCTCACAATATTGTGTTTTTTTTAATTTACCACTAATATGGTGGTTTTGAATTTATTGACACAAATATTGTGTTCTTGGGGGGAAGTAGTGCAAGTTCGCATCAGATTGAATCGGATCCGCATTTTAAGTATTTTGATGTAAAAAACGCGGCCCCGTGAGACTGGTGCGGTACCGATGTCCCCGTTTTAAAGTGCGCTGACAGATTCCCTTACATTTTGACCAGCGGACCCGCATGAGACTGGCTTAAATTTTGTGGCTTTTGCCTTATTTCGCTGACAAGTTCCCCAAATGTTGACCAGCGCTCCCGCATCAGTCTTATGCGGACTCATCAACTTTGCTTACCCCACTCCAGCATATATATCAGTCCTTTTCCCCTTCCTTTCAGTATCCTCACCATACCAAAAACTTATACGAAACTAAACGAGAGGGAGGAGCTATGCTGGTTGCTCCAAAGATGGCTAGGTAAGAGACACATTTTTTTTATATTATTAAAATGCTATTAAAATTTTCTTTAGTTAGTAATTAGTGAATTTGCTTGTTATGTAGTGGTTTTAGAAGATTTGAACTGATCGTTCGACGGAAATTGGAGAAAGTAGAGGACAATTTGAGCGTCCATTTCGTTGTTGGTAGAAACTTTCAATTGACAGTTCCATGCAGGGTGACATATCATCAAATTTGTGAGAATCTAATCCCGATAATACAGCATAGAGATGAAGCAGTACAAGATAGTGATATGATCACAGGTTTCACTTACCGTCTTCCAGAATGGCATAATGATGTTATATTTCATTATGTGATGCCTGTTGTGGATGATGATGGCTTGAATGTGTTTTCGATTTTATGGCACAAAACCCTTATTGTTTGGGTGCTGAGATACATGCTTAGATTAGTCAGGTTGATCAGGGTGAAGATGAGACATGAAATGTGTCATCTGATCATGATTATGACGACAAAGACGAGGAGGAAGAGGAGGAGGAGGAGGAGGAGGAGGAGGAGGAGGAGGAGGAGGAAGAAGAAGAAGAAGAAGATGGGGAAGAAGATCAGCCTAATTATCCTCCATATTTTTACTTAAAGGCTAATGAAGAGGACGACGAATTATCATATGTTGATTCATATGGCGTAATTCCAATGCCTATTGTTGCTGGCTTTGAAGGAGAATTATACAAGGGGCAGATATTTCACTCGAAACAAGCTGCATAGGTGGCGGTTAAACACCACACACTACAACGCAACTTTCAGTATGGCGTGGTGGAGTCGTCACCTTCAATTTGGAAGGTCAGATGCTTGAAGCACAAGGATGACAATTGTCCTTGGATGGTGTTGTTTGGATGTCGAGAAGTTGGAGGCGAATGGACTGTGAGAAAGGCCGAGTTGGTGCATTCTTGTAGCAGTACGACTCAACTGATGGATCATCGTCATCTTGATGTCAACGTTATATCTGAGTCCGTGAAACATTTGGTACGTGCCCAACCAAATATGAGCGTTCTAACTGTGCAGGCCGAGTTGAAAGATAAGTTTAATATGCAAATTACTTACGAAAAGGTTTGGTATGGGAAACAAAGAGTGGAGAAGTTGCATGGAAATTGGGAAGAATCCTACGATTATTTGCAAACATTCTTGCGGGGTGGTAAAGAGAAAAATGCCAACATCAGTGATTGATTGGGTAACAGTTCCTTCATCGCAACCAGATCATTTGATCTTCTAGCGAGTATTCTAGGCTTATGGACCTTGTATAGATGGATTCAAGAATTTTCCATGAGTCATGGTTGTTGATGGAGCATTTATTACTGGAAAGTATAAAGTAGTGCTACTCATGTCGAGCTCATTTGATGGCCGGAAGAAATTTTTTCCAATTGCATTTGTCATAACGTGGATGGTACGTGACCAAATGGGTCGTACCTCGAATCTTGTAAACGCGATCACCAGCCTATAGTGCACAAAACTTATATTAATTTAAATTCATGCGTAATTCTATTTTCAGTTCACCTAGTAAAATCTATCTAATCTAGTAAACTATATCTAATCAAAACTAATACTAATTTCTAAAAATTCCACATGCAATTCTAATTTCAGTTCACCTAGTAAAAATCTAAACATCTAATCTAACTAGCTAATGAACTTTAATGAAATACTTACCCCGTTTTGGCAAACTGAGTCGACAGGATGTTGACCATGTGCCCAAAGAAGTACTGAATCGACTGGAGCTGGATCAATTATAGTAGGCGGTCGTCTCGTGGAATAAATGTCCAGAAGTATAGGAACTGAAAAAAAAGCAAACAAAAGTCGCCACCTTTGAGCTTCTGGCCGTCGAGCTTCAGACTGGTGAGATCGCTCACCTCGGTATCGGCCGCGTGCCCGCCGTCCTCTTCCACAGCCTCTTCCTCCGGCGGCCGCCTATTTTTCATCGTAATCTGACATCCAAAACCAGATTTGGTTTCTTCACTTCCGCGCGAGTAAGGAGGAATCCGTGTTGGGGATGACGGTTCCGCAGGAGATTCGCGTGGATATGTTGGCTGGAAGGCGGACCCGCGGGAGGTTTGGACGAGAAGCTCGCGGCGGGGGCGAGGCGGCGGAGGGGGTGTGCTGCTGCGGAGGGTTTGGGGGAGGTGGTTTGTGGTGGCTAGGGTTTGGGGGAGGGGGGGGGGGTGGGAGGGGGGGATAAAATAAGAGAGAGGGATGCGATTTCGTAGGAATCTGGGGTGGGATATTTTAATAGGCGAATCCGCAGCAGTCTGGCGATGGTTCGTTTTTTAAACTGCCTATTTTGAGTCTCATGCGGACTCGCAGTCCCTTCTCCTAAAAAACACAATATTTGTTTAATTAAATTTAAAACCACCATATTGGTGGTAAATAAAAAATGACTATATTTTGGAAATTTACCCTTTATTTGATCGTCTAATCATAGAAAAATAAATAACAATAAAAGTGAAAAGCATTCTAATTGTAATTAGTAGGTTCAAGAAGGTTATATATGTTAGAGTAGATGAGAAGTCAAATTAAATTAAGCTTTTCTTTGCTACTCAATATTTATTTCTTCATATTTCTCTCCGTATTCATTATTTTTATGAATTGTTGTATTTTATTTCCATGTCCAAATTAACTATTTATCGTCTGGAATATCTTATGTCTATGTCTAATTTTTCGTATCTTTTATAAATTAGAAAAATGTGGTAAATCTCGTATCAACATAAATGTGGTAATCTCGTATCTTACGTCTATGTCTAATCTGGTATCAACATAATATTAATAAATTCAACCAAATACCTTATAAAAAATTAGACATAAAGAACTTTTAAATGTGGAAATCTCCTTGTAAGCACCATACCCGTTGTCATTAGCTTAGTTTGGCCATGACGTAGCTTTTGCAGAAGCAGCTTATGGCTGAAGCTTTTAGATTAGTACTTTTCAAAAAAAAAAAAAAAACAGTTTAGTGTTTGGCTGTAAAACTATTAGAAGTGTTTTTTAATATGAGCGGCTGTGTAAAATGACTATAAATGACTTATAATATAAAATATGAATAAAAATTCTAAACAATAAAAAGTAGTCAAAATGGATCTTGTTAGATTTCTTTTATATTAAATAATATGATTGTATAATTTATTTTATTTTTTTAAGTGATATAAATGAAGGAAAATATATATTTTCTGAAAAAATTAAAATATGATAAGGATAATTTTTTATTTTCAAAATAATTTTTCACAGAAGTTCCAAATCGAAGTTTCTGCTTATATGTTATACAAAAGCGCTTTTCGGCTTTTCACCTGAACGCTCTGATATACTTTTCCATACATCTGAATAAACGCATTCTCAGGGTATAAAGTATTTTTTTTTCCATCCTTGAGGAAGCCACCCAATGCGAAGCATTCGTCCAATATCACTTTGCTTGAATAAAGGGAGTCCGAGATTTTAGAGATGTTTGACCATACTTCAGCTTTTGAAGTCGAAAAACACTTCTAAAAGCCAGGCCAATAGAGATTGGGAGGTTCGAATTAGTCATGTGTATAGGGAAGCTAATTTTGCGGCTGACTTCCTTGCTAATAGGGGTCACCTTGTTGATTTTGGCACACATCGATTCAATGTGTGCGACCCTGAGTTGGGTAGATGGCTTTTGTACGATATCATGGGTATTGCTCATGATCGTTCGATTATTTCTTCAATGAGTTAGACGCTTGACGTCATTCCTTTTACCAAAAAAAAAAATCCCAAAATACATAAGTTATAAAAAAAAAATCCAAAACTACACTTGTTTGGCATTCACCGTTTTTGACAAACGCAGTGAAGATTATCACTGCGTTTGACAAACACGGTGAATATTTCACCGTTTAAAAAAAAGGTGAAGTATTCACCATTTTTCTCTAAAACGATGACATATTCACCGCTTTAAACTAAAACGGTGAATACCTTCACCGTTCTATGTTAAAACGGTGAGTATTTCACACGTTTCCAACCCCTGGTAGGTGAAAATTAGGTAACAGCTACCTAATGTTCACCGTTTGAGACAAACGCGGTGATGGTGTTCACCGTGTT